GACATGGGTCCTTTGAGCTCAAACTGAGAATATGTTTGAAGCTCTTTGTGGATTCAAAGCGGAATCAGCACTGTCTCCCAGCTCTGGAGATGCAAGATTTTGACTACTGTTCATTGTCTGTTTCCACTGGCTATGGAGGGACAGAGAGTGTGCCTGTAAAGGGAAGACTTGGATCCCCTTAATGTCCAACATGAAGACATTTTCTTTGTATCAAGGTTACTTTAAGTCCTTAGCTTTGAGAACCAGCATAAGTCATTGCTGCAGAAGGTGCAGGTTTGCAGACTGGTGATTTCTTTCCTCTTTCAGATTCTTGGTTACCATCAGAGCTTTTCATTTGTATTCTGATCATGACGCTATGACTCATACAGTGTGAAGAGTCACAAAGGTGCCTATATTGGAGATAAGCATTTCCTTACATTTTAGTATATAAAAGAATATCTTATTGAAATAATCAGAACCTAAAAACTCTATATTCTTTGCTATTTTATTCTTAAAGGAATAGTTTTTAAAATTATTAATGGCATAATGAAATCTAACCCTTGTTGACAGCCTCGATTAAAGTGGCCCTCTCGCCTGCTCATACACATTGTTCCAAAAGCCAGTTCTTCTTAAGCTTTTACAAATGCCAGGCTTTGAATACCTAAGCTCTTATGAACCTTTATGTTTTCTTTAAGCGTGGCACAGGGAACTGCCAAGGTGCCAGAGAAGATGAAGGTAATACTTACATGTGAAAAATGATAATTGTTCCACTTCTTGGGAACTTATGCACAGGTGACCCAAGCGCCTCATTTGGATATACCAATACAGACGTCAAAGGGTACTTACTATTAATTAATATGGCCAAGCTTAACCAAAAACTAAGAAGAGAGAAGACACAGGGAACAAACAATGCAAGAAATCACACAAGTTTATTTACCAGAGAGCTGATGGGTTTCAGTCCTTGGCAGGCCACTCAGAGACACAAGCTGACAGAGACACACAAAGGTCGTCAAATACGCCCCTGCAGGAGCTTGGTCTCTTGACTCGAAGAGAGGCCTCTAACAGTTTGGGCTCAGAAGCAGAGCAAGAACGGCAGTTTCCAGGAGGAAGGAGAAGTCTTGTCTGTGGAAGTCAGACAGGCATCTGACTGCCGCTGTGAGAGTCCTTCTTTTATACCTCATGGGTGGGCTTCTTCCGTGTCTCATATCAGTGTGCTCCAGTGGCCTTCTGGGCTTATCAGGATGCACCAGCAGGGGGTTACAAGTTGTTTGTCAGGAGTTACAAGTTATTTATCAGGAGTTAACAGCAGGGCGTTACAAGTTGTTTATACACAGGGAGTTACAAGTTACTTATCAGGGTCACGCACACACAAATTAAGTTCCTCTTCTAAGTAAAGTTTAAAATTCACTCTAATAAAAAATGAGATTTGATTATGCTATCTTATACTAACTAAACTTATTACTATAACAATAATTCAATTTCTATTTTCTATATTTGCTTAATAATGTTTTCTGAATTGATACAGGCTCTGTCAAGTCCGTGTTATTATTTCCCAGAACAGAATATGTCTAAATATAACTATGCTTGGGGATCATCTTTTCATCAATATTTTTCCATTCAAGGGTTAGTAACTTTTTCTCAAGACTTCAGAGGCAATTTGTAGCATTGAGCGAAGACCTGTACATTCATTTGCAATAGTCATATAGTTAATATATAGAAATTTGTAACTATGTATAATGTTTTTGATTTTCCTCTATGAAAACAACTTTGGGACTTTATAAAACATTTTAAAATAAAAAGCATCCTGAATAATAGCTTAAATTATGAAGTAGGAATTTTAAATAGATATTATTAGATTTTTATTGTATGTTCATATTTTTTAGCAATTTTTTCAACTAGAAGGAATTGAGATAAAGAAAAAGAAAGTCTTTTTAACAGAAAATTTTAAATTCTTGAAATGTTAATTGATTTATATTTATTCATTTCATTTGAAAATGGAAATAAAGTTTCTCATTGTGAGCAGCAGGTATTTTTTGGATTATTCAGGTACTGTGACTGTTGTTTAGATTCTGGTACTCTTTTGTGGCTATTGAGTATTATTGCTTTTCCAAGTCATCAAGCACATTTTGTTTTGTGATTTTGGTCCATGCATCCGGGATTTCACCTTTACCTATAAATTTTTTCTGGTATTTTTCTTCTAGCTCCTTTC